GGTCCGGTACGGGTGCGACACTGAGGGTTGCGATCCGTTGCCGGACCCGAAAAAAGACAAAAAGGAAAAAAAAAAAAAAAGAAAGAAAAAGCTCATGGGGCTGGCCCGGTGGCGCACTGCTATAGTGCGCTGCTTGGGAGCACGGTGGCGCTCCCGCCGCGGGTTCGGATCCCACATACAGACCGGTTCCCGCTCGCTGGCTGAGCGAGGTGTGGGAGCAACACCGAGGGTTGCGATCCCGTTGCCGGTCCCGGTCCGGTACGGGTGCGACACTGAGGGTTGCGATCCGTTGCCGGACCCGAAAAAAGACAAAAAGGAAAAAAAAAAAAAAAAGAAAGAAAAAGCTCATGGAGGACGTGGTGTTTGAGATGAGCTTAGAGGGTGGACTATGTTCTTTAGACTGACATGGAAAGGGAATGAGAGGCCAGGCGTGGTGCTGGAAGGGCCCTGGGAGTATGTCAGTGAGCAGCAGGGGAGGAGGTTGAATGGGGCTTTTGGAGGAGAAGGTAAGTTTGGGCCAGGCTTCTTGGGGTGGCGAGCTGGACAGGGGAAGAGGAGAAATATCTGGGGGAGAGGGAAGGAGAGGTGGGCAGCCTGAGGGCGTGGGCAGCTGGACTTCAGCTTCACTGGGGGGTAGTATCTGGAAACCCCACAGGAGGAGGGGGGCCGTGGCTCAGAAGAAGGTCGCTTTCTGTAGTTCCTACAAGAGTCTGGGTGGGATGGGGAACTCAGGGGACTGCTTACAACTTGATGTGGAGCCAGCTAGGGGTTGGGGAGAGAGATTTGGGTAGACAGTGGACGGGGCCTTAGAGACAGGTCACTTCCCCCAGACTTGAGGACGAGTGGTAAGAGGAGGGTGAGGTGAGCTGTCCCCAGGCCACCATCACCCTGATGCAGGTGGGAAAGGCCATGGCCCAGGCCCAGGTACGTTGGTTCCGGGGAGGAGACGTGATACGTGAAGGAGTTACCTTCACTCTTTCTCTTCCTTTACCCTCTGCCCTCCTTGGAGTCAGACAGATGAATCGAGTCCCAGTTCTTCCTTTTACTAGCTGTGTAGGGCTTGGTTACATGCGTTTGAGTCCTAGTTCTCACATCTGTGAAGTGGGAAGAACTACATCTTCCTTGCAAGGAATTGTGAAGATTAAAATAAGTTAATATATGTCGACTGGCAACAAACTGCTTGGCACATGGTAAATATTGAAGAAGTCATGTGGCTATCATAATCACTATTTTCTGGATGACCACCTCCCCCTTGCTCAGCCTTCATCCTTCCTCCAGTGGAGTGGGTATATGACTCTCCTCTTCTACCTTTTACCTCTGAATGGGCTCCCCGCCTGCGGCTCCGTCTTTGCCCAGTTCATTGCCCTCTCAGACTTTAGCACAGCCCCCAGCAGCTTTGCTGGCCCTGCGGCCTCCACAGGAGCTGGCAGCCTTGCCCTTGCTGAGCGATCTCAGCGTGTTGGGGCCTGCCATCTGGTAGGGCAGTAGGGAGCCGGCCTGTGTGCATGTGGCTAGCCAGACATCAGACCCAAGTGCCTGTCCTTCCTGTTTGTTAGGAGAAGATGGGGGTGACTTTGGGGAAACCACACAGGCCGTGGAGTTTGCCTCTAGAGGCCTAGTTTTGTCCAGCCCCTCCCTCCTCACCCACTCGCTCACACCTGCTCACTCTGGAGCCCTCTTCTGCTGTTTCACAGCCTGCCCACGCTCCTCCCTGGCAAAGCCCCTTGAAAATGCTTGCTTTGGGGGCTGGCAGCTTTTGCCTCTTAATCATGTCCCGTGAGTGTTACTTAGAAATTGTGCAGGAGTTGAGGAGGCTTCTGTTAGGCTGAGATGATAATTGAGCTATTTAAAGATGGCCCTGAAGCCAGGAGCCAAGTGTCCTGAGGTGGCTGTCCTAGAGCTCCCTTCTGCTCACTGTGCTTGTACAGTGGGTGGGGGCAGGGGCAGGAGGTCCTGGACTGTCATCTCAGGGGCATCTGCCTGGCATCCTTCTCTGGGCTCTTCTTCAAACTAGCTCTACGTTATGCCATTTGGCCAGGGGAAGTGGAGTTGCTACCTGGCACCTGGTTTGGAGGAAGCCCAGTGGGCTGGTGGTACTAAAGCCAGCTTCTCAGTTGCTAGAATGACCAAGAGGATTTGGGGAGGTCAAATTGGACCAAATAGCACGTCCCTCACAGTGGGCAGCCTGAGGTCTTGTTCTTCCCTCCTGAGAACTATTTCAGCCCCTTTCCTGTAAGGAGCTTTAAAAACTTCATCTACAAGGGCCAGCCTGTGGCTCACTTGGGACAGTGTGGTGTCGATAACACCAAGGACAAGGGTTCAGATCCCTATATAGGGGTGGCCGGTTAGCTCACTTGGGAGAGCATGATGCTAACAACACCAAGTCAAGGGTTAAGATCCCCTTACCGGTCATCTTAAAAAAGAAACCAAAAATATAACCTTTACCTACAGGCACCCAACGCTAAGGTAATTCATACTCCCCTGCCATCGTGGGGTGCTTTCTACTTTCAAAGCTCTGCTCATCCATAATCTCATTCCCCCAAGGCAGGCAAAAGAATTGCAGGTTCCATCTTATAGCAGAGGACTTAGTAGGTGGTGACAAGCCCAAGGTCACTGGCTGGTCTGTGGCAGAATTGCAACCCAGCTCTCCTAAGTCCCAGCTCTGGGCTTCTTCCTGGTGACAAGTCTTGGGTGGTGACAAGCCCAAGGTCACTGGCTGGTCTGTGGCAGAATTGCAACCCAGCTCTCCTAAGTCCCAGCTCTGGGCTTCTTCCTTTGTATGCTGCGGGCTGCCTGGGGATCTGCTGTGCTGAGGCTATTCTCAGCATACCTGATCTCCTGAGCCTACTATACTCTTCTCCAAAGGACAGCCTCTGCTACAGGGGTCCCCTGCCCCAGCCTGGTCTCCTCTTCTGGCTTCTCATTTCTTCTTGGTGTGTGTGGAGCAGTTGGAGGAATAGAGGAGGCGTGGGCCTGAATGTTGACTAGCTTGGAGAGGTGGTGGGGCCATGGGGCCCTTCAGCCTCCTGGCCTGAAGCATTCAAGGTGAAGGGTCCTGGGCACAGTGGGTGGGAGAACTGGAGGAATTGCTGTGATTAATAGCTCTGGCCAGAGTGGGGTAGCAGCCCCTCCCCTCCACTCCCTGCTGCTCTGTGGGGCAGGGAGGTGAGTGCGGGCTGCCTGGCTGTAGCAATGTTGGGGGAGGTAGGGTGCAGACCAGGGTTCTACTTCTCATTTCTGTAGCTTTTTGGGACCCTTCCCTCTACGGTGACTATCCCGCTTGGGTAAATGATCTCCTTGATCAGAGTTTGTATGTAGTTTCTATGTCTGGGAGTGTGTGTGGCTACTCGTGTGTATGGCTACTCGTGTGTATGGCTACTCGTGTGTATGCCTAGGTCTCCACGTTCCTGTGTCTGCCTGCGTGCACACGTGTGCATATGTGTGTGCCCATGTGCCTGCTTGAACTACCGGGCCCCTCTGGGAATGGCTGAGGTTGTGAGCTCTGTAGTTTCCATGCTGGTGCTCTGACTTTCATCTGACCCAGGCCCCACCTTCCTCCCTAGCCTCCCTCATACTGCCCCCCATGTCTACCTAGATCATCAGTACTCTGGAGGGAGGCGTTCAAGTGGAAGAGGCTTGGCCCCTCTGTTTCCCCTGCTGGGTTAGGTCCTGCCACTGGCCTGTCCAGTGTCTGACCTCTGACCTCACACTCGGTCCCAGTGTCTTCTGTCTGCTGTGACCCTCCTAGTCTGTCTATTATTCCCACCCCTGAGGGGTAAACAGGAGGCTTTCCTGTGTCTCCCATAAGAGGAGGGACGTGGGAAGGAAGGAAAGCACGTGTTAGGGACCATTCCAGGTGTGCCCACCATGCCCATTCTCTTCTGTCTGAGCTCTGAGACAGTTCCTCTGAAAACTGATTAAGGGGGAGGCTTTCTAATAGTGGACAGGGAGGTTGCAAGCCAGTGGTAGACAGAGAAATCCCCAGCTGCCTGCTGCTTCTTCATTACATCTTCATTTGCCCTGACCATTGGGCTTCCATGTGCCAGGCTCCAGACATCCCTGGAGCCAGGCTGTGCACATGCTAACCGTCCTAGCTAGTGACTCCTGGCAGTGCCAGCAATGGTTAATTACACTGAGGGAGCAGATTCCCAGCCATGAGCAGGGAGCCCCACACTGCTGCCCAGCCCTAGGAGAGTGACAGCCCCCTCCCCCCATGTTGGCCTTGCATTTCTTTCCATCATTCAGTCCCTTCTCCAATGCAGAGGTGGTAGCCTATGAATTCAGAATTGAAGCCTTCTGTCTGCCAGGCCTGCGTGCTGTCCTCCTTGGCGGGTTTCAGAAGTGGGGAATGACGAGCCAGAGCCTCCTCCCTGAATTATGGACATGGTAGCAGGTCAGGGCTCTCTGCCTGCCCCAGTGCCCAGCTTGTGCCTCTCCAAGGCCTCAGCCCGGTTGTGCCAGTGGTCAGGACAGAACTACTGCCTCCCGTTTCCTACGACCCCAGCCGTACAACCTCTGTGGGACTCACACCCACTTAGAGCCCTTTAACCCCTTCTGCACTTGCCTTGGCTTGAGTATGAGAGAGGAGGCTATGTGGGGAGGGTCCAGAGACCCTGTTTCTTTCCCTCCCACCCCCAGGTCTCAGGAGGACTCTGGGCAGCCTGCCGGCTGCTCCCCTACCGCTGACTGAATCATTTCTATATTTGGCCAGCGAGCCACGTGGGTGGGGAACCACTGCACTGCACTTCTGACAGCTGCTGGGGTTGGGGGGCAGGGGCTGGGCGGCAGAGGCTGTGGCAGTAGGCAAGTACATTCCTTGGGAGAAATAAGGAGGCGCCATCAGAGTAAGCCAGGAGAAGGGGTGGGAGAAGGGGTATGGGCCAATACCTCCCTCTTCTCCCCCATGCCCTGGTTCAGGTCCTGCCACTTCTGACCCAACCCCTCCCTGATGCCCTTCTCCACTCAGCTGGTCCTCACAGCAGTCTCTTCTCCCACAGACCACACCGCCTTCCAGAAATGATGGCTGTTGCTAGACCCAGCTGGGACTCTGCCAGGCTCCAGCGCTCAGTCTAAGAGAAGGACCATCTTCCAGCCCTGCTCTCCCTGTCTGTCATGGCCATGCTCCGCTGCTGCCTGCTTATCTGGGGACACAGGGCACCCAGCCCCAGCCCTGAGATCTTAAGCCAGGCCTTCTGGCTCCATTCCACAGGGGTACTCCAGGCCCCAGGCCCCTTTCAGAGCAAGAGCAACTGATGCCATGGGAGAAGCCCCTGCCCACCTGTCCACTCGCCTGGCACTGCCTGTTCTGAGACCCAGACACTGAGTCCACCTGGAAGTGCCAACCCTGTGAGTCTTTCCCCTGTCTCTCTGACGCTGAGAAGGTCCTGCCCACCCCCACCATGTGTGAGGTGATGCCCACAATCAACGAGGGGGACCCTCTGGGACCCCCCCATGGTGCCGATGCTGACGCTAACTTTGAGCAGCTGATGGTGAACATGCTGGATGAGCGGGAGAAGTTGCTGGAGTCCCTTCGGGAGAGTCAGGAGACCTTGCTGGCCACGCAGAGCCGGCTCCAGGATGCCCTGCATGAACGGGATCAGCTTCAGCGCCACCTTAATTCTGCCCTCCCCCAGGTAAGGTCTCAAGGTCTGCACCTCCCTCATCTGTGTGCTCTCCCCCAGCCCTGCTGAATCCAGAGTCCCTGGGCCCTCAGCTCAACTGCCTCTATTTGCATATCAACATTGGAATTCACAAAACATTTACTTTATCTTCCTACATAAATCCTTTCCCTGTCACTCCCAAGCTTCTCAGCCTGGAATTGGCTTCACCTGGAGAAATGGATGGAATGTGATGCAGGAAGAAAACCCAGCCATAGTTGCCAACTGCAGTGAGCCCAGGAGGCCAGTAGGTGGCACCCTAGACTGGAAAGAAACCTTGCCCCGTTTTGGAGGTGGCGGAAGTGGAAGTGGGAGAAGCCTTAGAGATCATCTAGTCCAGCTCCCTTAATGCACAGATGAAAAAAGCAAGAGATGTCACACAGAAAATATAGGCAGAGCTGAGTCTAGAAGCCAAGTATCTTGACACCCCATCTCATGCTCCTCAACAGCACTACTGCTAGCTATGACATAGTTACCACTTAACTGTGTATTTTCTGTGTACTAAGCACTTTGTATGGATTATCATACAAAATTCTCACAGCTATGAACTTGATACTATTGTCACTATTAAACTATTAATTTACAAAGGATGAAACTAAAGCTTGGGGAGATTAATAAATTGCTCATGACCACCCAGGTGGTAGAGGGAGGAATTAAACCCTGGGCTGCATGCCTCCAGAGGCTGTCTACCACTCCACTGTATTTCTGCTTGGCCACATTGGCCCCAGAGCTCTCTCTTGCTTCCTGCTTATCACCCATTTGGTAAATATTCCAGGCAAGAAGCATGCTCTGAGGATGGAGAAGGGAGCAGGAACCTGAGTTATCAGGCTCCTGTCTGCCTGCTGCTTGTTGAACAAGGTGTGAACTCTGCCTGGTAACCAGGCCCAGGGAGGGCTGGGGTTGGTCTGCCTGTGAGCACAGTGCTGACAGTGACTGTGAACTCTCCACACTGGACACATTGCATAGTCCACCCTGAGCCAGTGGGTGCACTGCTGGGGTTGGGGGAGGCAGCCCTGAGGAGCCAAATAGCTCAAGCCTCAGCTCCTGGCCCTTTCCCCCTGTGTGGGGAGAAGAACCAGGGCTGAGCCTTGGTGGGTGAGTTTCCTGCCCAGGGCTCAGAAGTGATGAGGGGCAGAGTCTTGTGATGCTTTAATTGATAAGAATGTGGAACCCTGGTGAAGAAGCAGGGTGGGCAGGTGGGCCCCTCCTATCTCACTGTGAACAAGACCCTGAACATGCCCTAGGATGAATGAGATAGTCCCTGCCCCCAAGGAGCTCATACGCTAGAAAGGAGACATATAGAACCCAAATGACTAGAAGAAAATGTGGGAAGATAAAAGAGGCCCACAAGGGTTGTTAACCACAGTATCAGTGATAAAAATAGCTGCCTTTGATGGGCTTGGACTAAATGTTTTCTGTACATTGGCTCATTTAATTCTCATAACAACACCTGGAGGGAGGACTGTTACATCTATCTTACTCATCAGAGAATGAAGTTCAGAGAGGTTAGTTAACTTGTCTGAGGTCCCACAGCTGACAGGGACAGAGCTGAGATTTGATCCCAGGCCTGCCCAACTTCTCACACTAGAAGCTTCATGAGGGCAGAGGTTGTGTCTTTCTAGTCACTGTATCCCCAGTGACTGGCACTGACTCTGGTACATGGTAGGTGTTCACAAAAATTTTGGTTGAGTGATGGACTCCCAAACTGGTGTTCTTAGCCACCGTTCTGAACAGTGTTCAGGGGAGGGAAAAAGCCTTCCACTGGGGAGTCCGGAAAGCTCCCAAGGAGACTGATTCCTTTGAGGTGGGCTTTGAAAGGTGAATATGATTTCATCAGGTGATGGCAGAGGGTTGGGCTCTCAAGGGGGAGGGATTCCATTGAGCAAAGGTGTGGTATTAGAAAGGCTTGTTGATGTTCAGAAACAGCAAGTAACCTAGGTTGACTGGGCCTTAGGGTATATGGAAAGGAACCATGAGAGAGAAGTTTGAAAACCAGGATAAGAAGTCTGGATTTGTAGACAGTGTTGTGCTGGGGGAGATTATCCTGGTAGCAGTGTGTCAGATAGGTTAGAGGAGGGGAGGGAGGGGACAGGTGTCCTGGGGTGGGGAGACCAGGCAGACCCTGAGCTTGGAGGTTCAGGGGAGGGGAGAGTGCCAGCCCTTTGGTGGTGGTGTCATGGTGTGGGGCTGGGGGGCATGCTGTCAAGTCTTGTCTCTGGGAACAAATGTGTGCATGTATGTGCATGTGTGTGCGTGTGTGAACTGAGGGGTGAAGCAGCATGAGGCTCAGGCCTGGGCTTCCAGTTGTGAGATGCTTGACCTCGACTGTGTTTGGCCATGGCCTTGATAGAAAGACAGTAATCAAGGAATAGGATCAGAGGTCTGTGGTTTCTCATGCTCTGGCATCTCTGGTCCCTTGTCCTTTCTCACAACCCGTCCAGCCCCTCTGCCTAATCTGGAGTGATAAGAGGGGATTGCTTCGGGGATGCTTCCTGTGGTCATGAATCTTGGTTTGTGAGGGGGGCTGCAGGTTAGGATGGGGCTGCACCCTCTGATCAGTCACTCTCAGAACTTGGACATCCACAGAGTTTGGGCCACTCATCTGAAAACTTTTCTGGAATAAGGTGATGTTGGATTAAATTAATATGATATGATGGGTCTGGAACTGTGGGGCCAGCCTCTCACCCCTGTATGCTTGCCCTGATGAAGGAGGGTGGGCTGGCAAGGCCTCTAAGGTGTCTGGGCGTGACAGTGTGGGAATGGGTCTCCCTCAAAGGGATACTTGGTGCATGGACATTCGGTAAAACCAGGGCAAGTGCCTTGGCATCAGGTGGTGGGGAGAGCCCTGGCCTGATTAAGCAGGGCTCCCAGGAAGCCAGGGCTCAAGCCACGTGGCCGTGTGATTGGGCAGGTCTATGTGTGCTCTTGCTCCCCTGTAGCTGGGTCCTTCAGTCCTCTTATTTCACCGGCCACCTGCAGCTTGCAAAGCCCTGGGAAGGGGTGGGAGAGAGCTTCCAGAGACACTCACTCAGACATTCTCTTCAAACCCCCCCCCCTTTCCTCTCTAATTTCCACCAGTTTCTGTTTGGACCTTATTCCACTAAACCAGAAGCGGAACTCCTCTGTGTTACTGAAGGAAAATGTCATTGGATTGCTGGAGAAATGGAAAGCCAAGTGGGAGGGAGGACACAATCTGGTCATATTGGTGGCTGGAGGAGGAAGGGGCTACAGAGCAGACTCAATGTCTTTCTCACTCTTGTACCCAACTCTGTTCCATCAAATCCTAACACATACTTGGAATGCATGGAGGACCTGGAGGAATCAGAGATGTGGACCCCTCGGGGGAAGCACATGCTAGCTGCAGGTTTACTGCCCTGCAATGTGGGTGGACCAGGATTTTCTGGGGGGCAGGTGGTGGAAGTAAAGGCTGCGTGAGAGGATCCCACCACTGATGTGGACATACAGGACACTGCTTAGGGGGTGAATCCCCAAGCACTGAGGGACCTTGGGGGGTTTTCAGGAATTTGCCACCTTAACCCGGGAGCTGAGTATGTGTCGGGAGCAGCTTCTAGAGCGGGAGGAAGAGATATCAGAGCTGAAAGCAGAACGGAATAACACAAGGGTAAGTGGGGATGACCTGAGGGTGTGTGTGTGTGTGTGTGTGTGTGTGTGTGTGTGTGTGTGTGTATGGGGTGGGGTGTGAACACCTTGACCTTGAGAGCAGGCATGACCAGGGCAAGGTGCAGCCCCCTTCTTACCTCTTCCTGCCTCCCATCCTGGGGTGATAATTAGGTCATTTAACCACCAGTGCTGGGCTATTCACCTGTGATTGCTGGATCATAGAAAGTGGCAGGTCCTGGGGGAGAGGCCAGGGCGGCTAGCCTAGGGGTGGTTATTCAGCCGGGGCAGCAGCTATTTACCAATATGGAAGTATTTCAGCATTTTGACAGTGCTGTGGCTGTACTCATGTCTAGTCGTTGATCATGTGGACCCTGCTTGTAGCTCCTGAGGCACATGCTCACAGCCCTCCCTCTCGCCCTCCCCTGCTTCCTGCCAGCTGCTTCTGGAACATCTAGAGTGCCTGGTGTCCCGCCATGAGCGATCACTGCGGATGACTGTGGTAAAGCGCCAGGCCCAGTCACCTTCGGGGGTCTCCAGTGAGGTGGAGGTGCTAAAAGCACTGAAGTCTCTGTTTGAGCACCACAAGGCCCTGGATGAGAAGGTACCCTCCTGAAACCCCCATTCCCAATCTAGCCAGCCTCCCCTTGGGGCCCCATGTGTCCCTTCTCCTAGACTTCTGCGGCCAGTGTTTAGAGAAGACTACCTACTAGCTTCAGAACTGGTTCCCTACTACCATTGACCTAATTTCAAGGTCCTTCTGTTAGGTTTCCTCCCGGAAATTTGCCTCTCGGCAGGCCCTTCACTTTCCCTCATGCCAGCAGTGGTAGAACAAGCCCAGGCCCCTCCAGCCTGAGTCCAGTGAAGCCCTCCTTCCTTCCTCCATCTCCCCTTACCTTGGGCAGGTGCGAGAGCGGCTCCGGGCAGCACTGGAGAGAGTGACCACTTTGGAGGAGCAACTGGCAGGTGCCCACCAGCAGGTAAGCTGCCTGCCCACCTTCAGTCTGCAGACTGCAGCTCCTGGTAGTCTGGACTGGCTTATCCCTTTGCCCCATGCTGTTCCTCATCAGATTTCTCCCCACTGTGGCTGTAGACAGCTAGTCAAGGCTAGGCTGGGCACCTCTTTCTAGGAGGCAGAGGACCCAGGAGGGTCTGGAATGTATAGGAGGTCCTTTTCTCACTGACTCATTGCCCTGGTGGCTGTGTCCTACAGGTGTCTGCCCTGCAGCAGGGAGCAGGGGTGCGGGACGGAGTAGTAGAAGAGGAGGGGACTGTGGAGCTGGGACCGAAACGCCTGTGGAAGGTGGGTAATGGGGAGCTATAGAGCAGGGGCATGTATTCCCCAAGACAGGTGAGGAGGCCCTGCCCTGCCTTAGTTCAGTAGGGTAACTGTTTGAATTAAATTTGGGGCTTTCTCCAATATTCCCACTTCTCTTTCCTTCTTTCTCTCACTCCATCTGCAAAGAAATCTGTAGATTTTCATTTTAGTGCCCAGCACACTGCTAGGCACATACTTTGCTTTTCCACTTGAATTGTTAGGTGCCATCTACCCTGTGTATTGGGATCAGGCAAGATTCCTTTGTTCCCTCAATCATGCCCCTTTCAGGGTCAGAGGCTAAGATAGCAGGTAAAACTAGTAACTGTTGTTTTTCAGCTCTTAGGGTCCAGAGGAAGAAAGGTGGCCCTGGAGGTGTGTTCTGCTGTTAGGGGCAGAGCTGTGATTGCTCTGGTGCTGCCACTCCTCCCACTGGGGTGGAGTGCCCTGGGCTTCCATGACTGACTGGTGGCTCACTGTCTCTGCAGGATGACATGGGCCAGGTAGAGGAGCTGCAGGAGCTCCTGGAGAAGCAGAACTTTGAGTTGAGCCAGGCCCGGGAGCGGCTGGTCACTCTAACAGCAACTGTGGCTGAACTTGAGGAGGACCTGGGCACAGCCCGCCGGGACCTCATCAAGTCAGAGGAGCTGAGCAGCAAGCATCAGCGGGACCTCCGGGAGGTGAGTGGGGGTCTGGGCCTGTTCTCAGGGACCTCATCTTGCAAGGTGCAGGCATTTGGCACTCAGGAGGGAGGGCCAGGCAAGGGCTCGAGTATAAGACTGAACACTCGGCTGGGTCCATTGTGGGGACAGTTGATGGGAGGGGTGGGTCAAGGCCAGAATCGGACAGGAGAGTATAGATCATGCCCCTTTCTGGCTTATAGCCAGCCAGGTTTGGTGGAGAGGTGCAGAAAGGATGGGCACAGGGAAAGGCTGGTGACCTTTCCATTTGTCTCCTTTTCTCCCACCCAGGCTCTGGCCCAGAAGGAGGACATGGAGGAGCGAATCACCACACTGGAGAAGCGCTACCTGGCTGCTCAGCGGGAGGCCACATCCATCCATGACCTCAATGACAAACTTCCATTTGTCTCCTTTTCTCCCACCCAGGCTCTGGCCCAGAAGGAGGACATGGAGGAGCGAATCACCACACTAGAGAAGCGCTACCTGGCTGCTCAGCGGGAGGCCACATCCATCCATGACCTCAATGACAAACTGGAGAATGAACTGGCCAACAAGGAATCCCTGCACCGCCAGGTATCTCCTCCAGGTGGGGTGGGAGTGGGCATTGTCCTTGACCCTAGAGGTCCCGATGACCATGAAGGAGCCTTTCCTTGGTGGCCCCAGAGTCTGTAGGTCACCTTGGAAAAGGGGAAGTCAGGCGTCTTAGGCAGCCAAAACTCAAGATTGTCCCTTGCTGCTTCTGACCTGTCACCTGCTCTCTGCTGAGGCTGGCAAGTAGGGAGAGGCTTCAGTGCTCCCTCTTGAATCATTTCCCTACCCCACATCACTAGTGTGAGGAGAAGGCCCGACACCTGCAGGAGCTGCTGGAGGTGGCAGAGCAGAAGCTGCAGCAGACGATGCGCAAGGCAGAGACGCTGCCAGAGGTGGAGGCTGAGCTGGCCCAGAGGATAGCAGCCCTCACCAAGGCAAGTGGGTTGGGGCCCTGGGATCTCTGCCTCTGTATACATGTCCTGAGCTCTTATGGAGCCAGGCAGGGAGCAGAGAGAGGGGAAGCACTTTGGGCCCAGAGCCAGGAAACTGCTTCCCACTGTGGGACTCCAGGAAACACACTCCCTTGTGTCTGTCCATTGGAAGAGTAATCCCTGCCTTCATCACCCCACAGGGATGTGAGAATCCCATAAGAAGGGGTGTAAAAGTACTTTAAGACGGAGGAGAGACTATGCTGATGCAAAGTATTTTTATTATCATTGATACCATGGTGGTTCATACTTCATTATGTTTGGGGCTAGAGTGGGAAGATTAGGTTTTTTATCTCTCCAGGGAGGAGAGAAGAGAAATGATTAAAGTCTATATATTCCTGATGGGGGTGGGAAGAGGAACTATAGGTTGAAGACATCGTTTTTTACCAAATTGAAGCATTCTAGATATAGGGACCATCCCTGGTGGCTTGAAGGCTGCAGGTTTAGGATGAATAAAAGGGAATATAATTTTACCTAATGGATAGTTAACTTTATGGGGTAGTCTTTCCTGGGAGATGTGCCGGCTGAAACATAATAGGTTTTAGAAGAGCTAGGTAAATGTATGGACTTAGACATGCAGTGGGTTAATCAAAAGACTTTAGGGATGTTTTCAGTAGGTTGGAGGCTTTCAGGGGGACTAATGTGGGATCACTGTAGCTACTCCTGAACCACAGGTAGTAAGCACCAGGCCCTGGAGCCCCTGAAGGACAGAGGCTGGTCCGTGTGCCAGTGTGGCAGCTCAGATGCTCTGGGGATGGAACCTGCACCCTGATTGTACCTCCCTGGACCCAGTTCCAAGTCTGCTTCTGCCACTGACTGGCTCTGTAGCCTGAGAAAAGTCACCCCCTCCCTAAGTGGACCTCAACCTATGGTGATGGAGTTGGACTTAGTGGTCTCTAAGGTCTATCTATGCTCTAGGAATGAAAGGCTGGGTTTAAATGACAGCAGAGGATGTGATGAGTGGGATGCTGAGCAGTCAGCTTTAGTGTCTCCTAAAAACTGACAAGAAGGGATGGGCTGAAGTGATTAATATGCTCAAGTGAGTCATAGCAGGAGATTTTAAGGAAGGATTTCCTGCCTGTGAGATGCATGATATTTTGGGATATCTTGTCAGCTGAGACAGTGGGGTCTCCGTCTCTGGAGATACATGAACGGAAAGGGAGACCACTCTACCTGGGCTAGTTTAATAACCATGGCTAGGATAGCATTTGTTGAGTGCTTATTCTGTGCTAAGTGTTTGCCATGGATTAGCTCACTTAGTTGTTACAGTGGTCCGATGGGCATAGGTGCTGTTATGATCCACGTTTTCCAGTTAGAAAACTAAGGCACATAGAGGTTCAGTCACTTGCCCAAGGTCACACACAGGTAAGAGAGGGAGCAAGGATTTGAACCCAGACAGTCTGGTTTGAGTCCATGCTCTTAAGTGCAGCTCCATCTATCTGGAGGCATAGAGGAGATTTATGGTAGGTCATGCTTTCAAGTGGAATTTTTTTCCAGAAGCATGAGGAGGATTTACAGTATCTTGAACTGCCAGCTCTGGGATGTTTTAAGGCTAGCCCTGAGCAGGAAGGAGGTGGGAGGAAACCTGGCAGGGGTCAGGGTGCTTGGGAAGAAAGGTAGTGGTGATGGCAGTTCTGCTCTAAGGTGATAGGTGGAGGGCTGGGCTTCATTGGTACCTGAGGCCCTGACCCCAAAGACCACGCTGGCCCCAGGGTGCATGGGCTATGGGGGCCTGAGCAGGAGGAACAGAGAGATCTATAGTCTGCACTGGCCCACCACTGCCCCATAGGCTGAAGAACGGCATGGCAACATTGAGGAGCACCTGCGCCAGCTGGAGGGGCAGCTAGAGGAGAAGAACCAGGAGCTGGCAAGGGTGAGGGCACTGGGCTGGGCTCTCAGGCCCCTTTCTGTCCCTAGGGCATGCTCCCAGGACTGGCTGTGGAAAGGACATGGAGGAAGTGTGGGAGCTGGGGAAAGGACTGGCCAGGGACAGAGGGGTGGGAGGAGGCCCACGGGTCGGGGAGGAGGTGGCTCAGAGGGCTGGAGAGGGGCTTCTAGAGGACCAGAGGGGGACGGAGGACAGACGAGTGGGGTAGAGCCCCGATGGGAATGGGTGGCTCCCTGGGAAGGCAGCAACAAGGGCCTGGGGTGGCCTTGTGCGAGGTGGGCTGGCTGTGCAGGTGCGCCAGCGGGAGAAGATGAACGAGGACCACAACAAGCGGCTGTCGGACACTGTGGACCGGCTGCTTAGCGAGTCCAACGAGCGCCTACAGCTCCACCTCAAGGAGCGCATGGCGGCCCTGGAGGAGAAGGTGCAGTGGGGCCTCGGCCTGGGTGGGTGGGGCTGGTGGGCGGGACTGCCAGGAGGGGCGGGGCCGGCCAAAAGAGGCGGGGCGAGGCGAGGGTGTGGGTGGAGGCAGGCCGGCTTGGAGGGGCGGGCTTGGGATGTGGGCGGTTAGTCGGGGCGGGGCGGGGCCTGCGGTGAGTGGTGGAGTCGGCCTGGAGTGAAGCTGCAGAGAGAGGAGCAGCAGGGCGGCGGGGGGGAGAGGAGACGTGGAGGGTCAGGTCCGGGCTGGGAGACAAGGCATGGGCCTGCGTGGGGGCCTGAGCTGAGTCAGGGGACAGCGGCGGCGGGCTTTCTGGCTCACAGCCTTTCTCCCCCAGAACACGCTGATCCAGGAGTTGGAGAGCTCGCAGCGGCAGATTGAGGAACAGCACCACCACAAGGTACCCAGCTGCTGGCCAGCCGCCCAGCCTGGGAGGGCCAGGGTTGCCCTGAGGAGAGGACACGCCTGCTTTTCACGCAGCTGCTCTCATACCCAGCACTGTGTCAGCTTATACATTAGTCCGTGTGCATATGTTATGACATTATTCTTGACTATAGCCCATCACGGTAGATACATCACTACTGACAGGTAAAGAAGAAACTGAGGCCATAGCATAGGGCATGGGGTGGGCAACAGAGAGGCAGGGCCAGTGAAGGGCTCAACCAAAGGTTTTGGTGGGGCCTCAAACACTGGTGAGGCAAGAGTCTGGTGATTCTGGGGGGGATTAGCCACTGTCCCGGCCTCAGCAATGTCTGTGAGGTCTGGAGATTGGCACTGGGAGCCCTTCTGCTGCCCAGCCTCCTCTGTCATGCTTTTTTGTGGTGGCGAGGGGTCAGCAGGTCTATTCTAGTACAGTCTTTCCTTAGACAGACTCCTTTCCTAGCCCTGCCCCTCTGCCGACCCTTCTGCTCACTTTCCAGTTGGACCTCTTCTTTTTTGGTGTCATCTGTGGGCCTGGCCCGGGGCCCCTGGCTTTGGACTCTGCAGTGTATTCTGCTTCTTCCCAACTCTGCTGTCCTCTCTGTCCCTCTCTGACTCCCACTCTCCCCTCTCTGCCCCTCCCTGGCCCCCACCCCCACCCCGGGTCTGCCTGGCACAGGGCCGCCTGTCTGAAGAGATTGAGAAGCTGCGCCAAGAGGTGGACCAGCTGAAGGGTCGAGGGGGGCCGTTTGTGGATGGCATCCACTCCAGGTACTGGAGCGCGGGAGGCTGGGCGTGCTGGGATGGGGTCCTGGATGGACCCTGAGGAAGGAGACTTCCCCCACCAAAAGACCGCCCAGGACCTCAGGGTCCTCCTCCTACTCAGGGTGGGACACTGAGGCTCAGAAAATTTGGACAAAGTCACCCAGCTCACTTGGGCAATTTGGAAGGGAGCACCTGTCCTCTGAGGGATGCTGAGAGGGAAATAATCAGATGATGCTCCTTCCCCATTGCCATGGGACACAGGCCATGCTTCCTGCTTCCTTAACAGAAGGCATGCCCTTGAGAGGGGTCTGCTAAGTTCCGTGCTCACCTGTGTCCCACAAGGCCACTGGTGGAGAATGCCACTCACTCTAGTTCTTTGAGACACCATCTTTAGGATTGTTTTTTGAGAGTCAAAGACCACCTAAGTTCAGGTAGCAGGCAGGGGGCAGAAAGACAGCAGAAGAGATTGAAATGAGGTATCAAGAACTCCCTTGTTGGAATTTGAGGTGCTATGTTACTCATGGTTGTGGTATCCCTTTTCCTGAAAAAATTTGGAAAGGTGATGAATAGAGCTTGCCACCTCATGCTTGAAGTAGGCCCACATTTTAGAGAACCTGTGGATTTTTCTCCACATTTTGTGAAGCAATTGGCATTGAACTCAGACCTCAAGCCTGTTGTCAGTTCTTAGCCAAGAGGAGTAGGGTGAAGCTCAAGGAGACTGAGGTGAATGTTGCCACTCAAGGTTCATGGCTCCTGGCTGTTTTCTCTCCAAACCAAAGTTTCTTAGAACAGAACCCTTGTGTTTCCCTTTGGTCATGCTCTTGATACAACAGGGAAATAGGGATCAGCTATTATGAAGAAAGGTTAAAGGAAGTGTGTGTGTGTGGGGGGGGTGGGGGCAGAGTAGTACTTGAATTAGGGAAAGAGATGTTGAGCTTAAAGAAGAGAAGCCTGTGGGTGTGCTGGGTGGTAGACACTTAAGTACCATCTTCAGGTTCATCAGGAATTATTGTGTAGGGGTATGAAGAGAAACAAAGAAAGGAGACAATAACAGTGGTTGGGATTCCTCCTGCTTCTCTTTTCCTGTAGGAAAAGACCAGAAAGAACAACCCCTCAATTAAAAGACATGGCCCACAGTACACCAAGCTATTTGCCACTGCTTGCTTTCCCTAATGGTTGGAAATTCCTGGCTTTTACTGTAGAATCACTGGACCCATCATGGAATTGGGGCTGAGTTGCATGGAATTGGGGAGAAGGAGAGTTAGGCAGGAACTCTCCTCGCCTTCCAGCTACCTTGCGGAGTCTGTTGCGGGCTCACCCTGTCCCCTTGTTCTGAGCTCTCTCAAGGGTTCCAAGCTGGGAAGCCATAAGGAAGAAGTGTCACTAGGGGAGGCTTCCAGATACTCCAGAGGATCATTACTGGGATCCTAAAATCTTGGGGTTGGAATAGATCCTTGGGGCAGTCAAAGTGGTTTCTCTAGCCTGTCTCTGATGCAGCGTCAGGGCCTCCCAAAGCTTGCTGGGGATAGGGGATATGCCTGTTTTGAATTTCAGCCAGGGACTCAGTCCAGATATAGGGAGACCCGAGGGAAGGTTCTGGGGAGTAGACCAAGGAACAAAGACCCTAAAAGTTAGAAGGACCTTTAGAGATCATCCCTTCCAGCCTCTCCCAGGGCTCAGAGCCCTTCTGTACCATTCTTGTCAGATGGCCAGAGAGCCTCCACTTGAATACCTTTTTGATGGGTACTCAAACTTTTAAAAGCCTCCATTTGCTTCATGAGCCAACTTTTGCCATTAGAAGATCCTTCTTATGCTAAATGGAAAGCTGCTCCCTAGAACTTTCTCGCCTGGGTCATTCTGACCCCCGGAGCACCAGAGAATAAGTCTAATCTTTTGCTTACTTGGCAGCCCTTGAGACATTTGTGATAGGTCTATGTCCTGCTAAGACATCTCTTCTCTGAGCTGAAGATCTCTTGACTCTTTGGACCCAGTGGGTGTGAGCTGGGACTCTCAATCCTCAGGGCTTGTCTTTTTTCTCCCTTGTCATCTCTCAAGGTCACACATGGGCAGCACAGTGGATGTGCGGTTCTCCCTGAGCACAACCACCCATGCACCCCCAGGCCTGCATCGCCGCTACTCAGCACTGAGGGAAGAGTCTGCCAAGGTGAGGGGGTGGAGGGGTGAGTGTGGAGGGGTGTCCCCCGGGAGTTTGGGGTCAGTTCGGCCGCGTGCCTGGCTCCAGTTACACAGACGGCTGGTGTATGATGCAAATCCTTCCCCTGCTTTCCCTCATGTCAACGACAGCTGCAGCCCTGGGGTTGGGGCCATTGTCAACTCCAACAGCTGTGCCCACCCCTCCTTGCTGTGGCCTCCTGGTGGGCAAGAGGTAGGGGCTGGCAGGCGGCCAGCCAGTCCCTGAGGCCCCACTGAAGTGTGTGTGCGTGTGCCTGGGTGTGCAGGCATGTGTTTCTGGTGGTCATGGTTGGGGATGCAGGGGTAAGATTGGATTGGCAAGGTTTCTGGAACAAAAGCTGTGGTTAATGGGGGAGATGAGGGAGGGATGACAGGTTAACTGGTCCTTAGGATGGTGCATAAGCTTTTGGAGAAGCAGCTGTGAGTTCATGCTGTCTGAGTCTGCCTAGGGAGATTAGGGGGAATGAGGCAAGATAAGGGGCAGAAAAAGGCTGACTTCTACATTTTGGGGAAGTCTGATTCCTGCCTGGTCCCATAATTGTTAATCATGTTCTGTCCTGAGCCCAGGGCCTTTAAATGCTCTGGGGCACTAGAAGATATAGATGGAGAAAGAGGGAATTCCTAGTCAGATGGGGGAAGATTCATTCCTGCCCTTAAGAAACCCCCAGTCTTATGGAGGAGTCACAGTCTGAAGGTACCTCTTTTTCCTCTCCCCCCTCACTCCTTTACTCTTTCTTTTATAAAGAAAGCAGCAGCAGCCCTGGAGCTCAGACTAAAGGCTGCAGGAGCTAGAAAAGAGCCCTGAGTGAAAGTTTGAGGGCTTGTGTCATAGGGAATGGGTGTTAGAGCACCTCTCTGTCCCTGGCCCCCTGCTCTCTGGCTCCCTTAGCCCAGTTCTATACCCTTTCCTCTTCTGGGCTTCTGTCTGCTGAAGAGACTTGTAGGATGACATCTGAGAAGCTGCCATCTCTTGGGGTTGACACTTGTGATGTGCTGACGCTCTGGGAGACACAAAACTGTCAGGCCTGCTTGGCCTTTTCATGTTCCCTGGATCTAGTCACGCTTTGTGAGTTTGTGTGAATAGAAACTTGATATAGTGCTTGCTTTGTACCAGACACCATGCTAAGGGCCTTATGTGCAATCCCTCATTTAATCCCCCCAACCACTTATGAGGTAGGTACTATTACTACCGTATTTTACAAATGAAGAAACTGAGGCACAGAGAGGTTAAGTAACTTTCCCATGATTGCAAAGCTAGTACTTGGAAGAGCCGAAATTCAAACCAAGGCAGTCACTCTCTGGAATCTTTTCTTAACCACTCGGATAGCTAGCTCCTTGAGTTAGTTAGAGCAGTATTTCTTAGACTTTAATGTACAAACAAATCACCCAGAGATCTTGTTAAAATGCAGATTTTGCATCAGTAGTTCTTGGGGTGGGGCCTGAGATTCTGCATTTCTGGCAAGCAAGCTCCTAGGAGATGCCAATGCTGCCTGGTAGAGGCGGGGAGGGTGGTGCCCCTCATTTATCTGGGGTGTCTTATTATTACTCCTTTACCCTCCTTTGCTAAGGATTGGGAGCCATCTTCACTGCCTGGGCCGCTGGCCCCCACAGCCGCTCCTGCCTTTGACAGTGATCCTGAGATCTCCGATGTGGATGAGGATGAGCCAGGGGGTCTGGTGGGCTCCGTGGATGTTGTATCCCCCAGTGGCCACTCAGATGCCCAGACCCTGGCCATGATGCTGCAGGAGCAGCTGGATGCCATCAACGAGGAGATCAGGTTAGGGCAGGGGTGGAGGGCCCAGGAGGTGCCTTGAAGGACAGGGCCCCTTTGTGTTTGGGCAAGGCAGGAAAAATTCTACATGCATTTGCTCATCTCTGACAGCTGCACCTTAGAGTGCCACAGCCTAGGACCCTCTGTGGGGCATCAGGCAAGTTTCTGGTTCAGTACAGGACTGAGAGAGGCAGGGCCTTGAATTGATTTCTCAGGCTTTATGTCCCCTCCCAGGGATGGTTGTGTGGCTGGGCTTGGGAGGCTGTGTTCCTGTAGCTCCTGCAGCTTATCATAACCACTAAGAGTGTAGCTCCTACTTACCAAGGTCAGCTCAGGGTGAGAGCTTTGTAAATGTTACTGTCAGTCTTACTGCAGTCCCTGAGGTGGGCAACATGATCTCTCTTTTGCAGACAAGGGGACAGAAACTCAGAGAGGTTAAGTGATATGTCCAAAGCCAGGATTCAAACTCAGCTCTAAACTTGTTCCACTGTGCCATGCCTCCCATCCCTACTGAGGCATTAAACAGAAACTTGTGGCAGGGAAGGTTGTGAAAACCTTCACTTTATCCTGCCTTTTTAGCGAGTTTATTAATGTTAACGACAAACAGCAAGGGAAAATCTGGGCCAGAGTCTACCAGAGCATTATAGGCTATAGAGGTCATCTGGTTCAATGGTTTCCAGACTTTTGGATTTCACAGACCAGTTACAAAGAACACGCACGCGCGGACACACACACATGCACACACACACACACACACACACACACACTAGCACAGGACTGCCAGCCAGCTATTTACTATCACAATTATTCTGCAAAGGAAAGGACATTTTAACATTCTTAAAGTAGGAAAGACATTCTCTCAGAATAATGACAAGTCCTTTTCCTTAAAGCACAGTTGGCACTTTTACATGAGCATGTGTCTGTGTGTACATATGGGTATGTGTGAGGGGGTACACACATTCCTGTCTGAGTGCCTCCCGTGCACACACATACACCGTTATCATTATTTCTCTGTGCAACAGGGAAAACCCCATTGAGGGTTGGTATCAGCTAAAAGTTCCGTGTTTAGGAACTTAGATCATTCCAGACATTGCGTATGTTGGGAAATTGAGGCACAGAAAGCAAAGTGCCTGCCTCAAAGTCACGCCTGTAGTTAGTGGTAGGTCAAGAATTCTGAATTCTGGGACAGTTTGTCTCCACTGACTAGTTGCCTCCTTCCCCAGCAACTGCCTTTATTAAACTGGGGAGGTAAGCCAGCTATCGAGAGAGAGAAAAATGTGTCTGAGCTGCAGTGGGATAGAACCAAGCATGTGTTGTACATCCCAGTGATGCCAGAAACAACAAGGCAGCTGTGGGCATTGTCTTCTGTGTGTGGTGAGTGCAGGCATTGCCCAGCACTGCCTTCTGCTGGTCCTTGCTGGGGCTAATGGTGAGGTCTGCTTGTGCCTGCCTCCCAGGATGATTCAGGAAGAGAAGGAGTCCACAGAGCTCCGTGCCGAGGAGATTGAAACACGTGTGACCAGCAGCAGCATGGAGGCCCTAAACCTGACACAGCTGCGCAAACGTAGTTCCATCCCCACCTCTCTGACTGCCCTGTCCCTGGCCAGTGCGTCTTCCCCACTCAGCGGCCGCTCCACACCTAAGCTCACCTCTCGCAGTGCTGCCCAGGACCTGGACCGAATGGGGGTCATGACGCTGGTGAGAGTCTTTGGGCAGCAGAAGCATCCCTGTCACCACTGGGTTCTGCATTGGTGCAGTTATAAGGGATAGTAGGGCTCACTCTCAGTTGGTCCTGGCATCTTCCCATGATGTGTGTAGACCTCAGCATGTCAGCCGCCAACATGTCCTTCTGGGTTTGGAAAGGGCCTGTATATCTTCCTTGCCTTCTCCCTTGGATAAGCCCCAGAATGCCTAAGAAACTCATCTACTGCCCACACTTCTTCCTCTCTTCCAGAGGTAGCCCTGACATATTTTTCCAGGCCAACTTTTTTTTTCTGGTGTGATATTCTCTCCAGGCCTGTGTGAGGCACTGAATCCTATCTTCTCATCCTAAGAGACTACTGGGCTCCCCTTGGGCTTGGCTTTGGGGCATCCAGAGCTGAGTCTGAGCTCACCCACCCTTCATTCTCTCTTCCAGCCCAGTGACTTAAGAAAGCATAGGAGGAAGCTGCTGGTGAGTGACGCCTGGTGGCCCGGGTACTAGTGGGTTAATTGCTCCCAGGCCCTTCCCTTTTGGCTTTTCCCCCAGGACCTTTGGGTCTGAGCCTGAACTTGGAGAGGCCCCAAGGCCTTCCACTGCATTTCTCCAAGCTCCTCTGCCTCATCTGGGCTGGGTAGGCAGGTCCCAAATCACCCTCTATCCCCTGACGGCTCCACTGTCTGTTCAGTCGCCAGTGTCTCGGGAAGAGAACCGAGAGGATAAAGCCACCATAAAATGTGAGACTTCTCCTCCTTCCTCACCCAGGACGCTGCGGCTAGAGAAGCTTGGCCACCCAGCCCTGAGCCAGGAAGAAAGCAAGAGGTGAGTGGATCAGGTCCCACCACTGATCTGTCTGTCCCCAAAGTCATCTCATCCCTTCATCTGCTTCTGAAAGGACTGTGTCTCACCTGTCCCAGGCACCTGAATGTCTCCCATCTCTTTGCAATACCATCAGGGAAAGATGTCCCCATGTCTTTCTTGGTCACCTGCTCTGATTATACCCCCTCACTCCCACCCCACCTCTGACACAATATGAATTCTTCCTGAGCTCTAACTTCCGTCTCTCCTGCTGTAAGTTACGTATGTTTCTTCTTGTTCCACCCCCTTCTGGCTGTCGTCCTGTAGTGCCTTGGAGGATCAGGGCAGCAACCCCAGCAGCAGCAACAGCAGCCAGGACTCCTTGCACAAGGGCGCCAGGCGCAAGGGCATCAAGTCATCCATTGGCCGTCTGTTTGGGAAGAAGGAGAAGGGCAAGCTGATCCAGCTGAGTCGGGATGGAGCCACAGGCCATGGTCTCTGTCCCCTTCCTAGCAGAGGGCTGGGCGGGCATAGGGGAGTCAGAAGCAGGAGGGTGCACTCAGATCTGTCCTTCTCTGCCTGCCTGCCAGGGACCAGTGGGTGGAAGCCACAGGCAGGCAGAGTTTAGCTTTCAGGATTAGTTTTCTGCTAGAGCTGTTTCACGGTGGGGTATTTGGCATGCTGTAGAAGGGATTCCTGTATAGAAGGATGGGACCTCTGAGGTTTCGTCCAATTTGGAAGTGTCCCGATGTACTGTACTCTGGAACTTCAGGAGAAATTTCTTGGTTCTCTCTTTAGAAGATTCAGTTCTTAATTGGAACTTATTTCTAGTACATTTGGCCTCCAGGACTCAAATATTATAACACCTAATCATGGTGTTATTAAGTTCGATACAGTGCTTGGGCAAGGATAGCAATATTATCACCTCTGTGATAATATAAAGTTCTAGTGTGTGCTTGGCATGTGGGAAGTACACAATAAATGTTAGCTAAATATTAGCTTTCTCCCCACCACTGGCCCCTTTCCTCGTTTCCTTTCTTCCTTCTTCCCTCCCTCCTTTTCTTTCCGTGTGGTCTCTTCAGTCATTTGCTCAACAAACATTTATTAATTACTCTATGGCTTAGTACTAGGTGTTGAAGCAATAGTTCTTACTTTAAGGAGCTCATCATCTAATGAAAAGGAAAAAAATAAAAAAGAGAGAGATGATTCCAAAACAATATAATGATAGGGATGTGCCCAGGGTGCCTCTGGAACCCAGAACCAGCCATGGAATGGTAGGGGTGACAGGAATGGCCTTCTCTGCTAGGCAACACCTGAGCTGAAGCTTGAAGGCTGAGTAGGAATTAGCCGAGCCCAGAAGAGGTCTGTGTGCAAGGGGAAGCGGAGATGTGAGAAGGGGAAGGAGTCGTGGGTGTGAGAGTTTGTATGTAGTTATGTGTGTTCAGAGGGAGAAGGAGGAAGGTGGGAGGAGTGGGGAGACGGGATGGGACAGCTAGGGTGGACTCAGACCATAAGGGCCTTGCAGCAGTCTGTTGATGAGAGTTTGTATGTAGTTATGTGTGTTCAGAGGGAGAAGGAGGAAGGTGGGAGGAGTAGGGAGACGGGATGGGACAGCTAGGGTGGACTCAGACCATAAGGGCCTTGCAGCAGTCTGTTGAAGAGTTTAGAAGTTCCCCTGAGGCGGTGAGAGTATTGATGAGTTTCCTGTCGGAGGGGAGTTTGATCAACTAGAAAAAAAGGAACCTTTGAACCCAGGTGCCTCTGCTCAGGATGTGGGATGGGAGCAGTCTCAGCCCTGGAATGAGGTAAAGCACCCTCTTCCCAGCCCACAAGGGTGAGGGGAGTTGTGGAGCTGGCCACATGTGGGGAAGTGGAAGGTTCTGATCAGTGGAAGAGGTACTTTGCGTGAAGCCTTCTGATTTCCTGTGTTCCCCACACCACATTAACACATATACCTAAGACAGCATCTCAGATTGGTTTCTGGATTACCTACACCTGCTGCCCACTGTGCACTGTGGGAGTGACCAGAAATTAAATGAATCCTAGGATGTTGCCCTTTGCTGTGAATTCTGTAGGCTTCTGGCATCAATTCGAGGATACTAATTAGAAGGAGTCAGAGTCGTGTATGTTCCCCTTTGCAGTTTTGTGCAAGTGAGCACACCTGGAGAAAGAGGCATCTCTCATTGTGCCAGTTCCCTGTCCTTGACCCAAGTCAGGATAATCCTTCTCTGAGCCTCGCAGCTCTCTTGTGGCTGGCTCTCTGGGTTTCCTGTGCACCTTAGCTTAGAGGAAGGACAGATTCTGTCTAGGATTGTAAGATGGGACAACTTTGGTCCATCTGGCTGGATAACACCCCCAGGGCTGAGGTTCCCAGGGGGACACTGTCTGGGCTGGGCATGACCCACACAGTGCCACTCTCTGACTGCCTGGATGTAGGGATGTTGGACAGAGGCTCTAGGAATAATGGGTGGTCCCATCCAGCCTTCTTGGGTTGTCCTATGCCGAGGAGCCTCCTGCTGCTTCTGCTCCACAAACTGGTCTAGGCCAAGGGAGGAGAGGGAGAAGACCTGGCTGACACACCCATCTACTCCCTTCTAGTTCTGCTAACAGACTCCGAGCTCAGTCTGCAGGAGCCCATGGTGCCTACCAAACTAGGGACCCAGGCCGAGAAGGACCGGCGGCTGAAGAAGAAGTAAGAGCCACAGGCCTGCCCCCGCCCCTTTCCTTCCCCTGGGCCACCATGGAACTGAACTCAGGGAGCTAGAGCCCAGCAAGGCCCTTCCAGAACTGAGTTGGCCTGGTCTGTGTGGGCACAGCAGGGGCTGGAAGTTCTTAGGATGACACTAGAGAAGGAGGCAATGGAGCAGATCGAAATGTCCAAGTCAGTGTGTCAGCTCATATGCAAACAAAGTGAGAGCCACTTGCCCTGTGAGGTGTTCCTACCCCATTTCTTGGTGTCATGTTGCTTCAGGTGGAGAGCAGCGGAAGTCCAAGAGTGGGGAGCAGGGATAGTGGGGGTCCAACTTTTTGCAGAGCCCAGTGGTCCCCGGGAGTAAGCATGGTTGAGAGAGAAGGAAGGGCTAGTGTGTTGTTTCTCTTCCTGCAAGACACCAGCTGCTTGAAGATGCCCGCAGAAAAGGGATGCCCTTTGCCCAGTGGGATGGCCCTACTGTGGTCTCCTGGCTGGAGGTAAGCCTGGGCAGAGGGAGTCCACCTAGGGATCTAGAGGGAAGGATGTGTGCAGTAGGGTGGGGCAAGGACTCCTGGGCAGAGGGGTGGTGTCCCTAGACCTTTTCCAGCATGTTTCTCCCCTGCCAAGTACACAGGTACCATACCTGTCATTTAGCCCTGTCCCCTTCCCCCAACAAACACACATACCAGTTACTTCGGGTTGAATTGATGCTACTTACTAATGCCTCATGAGTAGCTAAGTTTGGATAAAGGGAACTAATCACCGAGGCATTAGACTTTCGCAGGCAGTTTGTTCTTTTAGGCTGCCCCGAGGAGCTAATCACCCATGGGAAAAATCCCTTCTCCTTCCCAGGCCTCAGACATTTCATCTGTAAAATGGGAGAGGGATTGATGATGGTCTGCACATGTCTAAGTTCCTGTCTTCTGCATTTGCTACACTGAGACCATGGATGAGGCCTGGTCTTGCCCCTTGGTATTGCCGAGTTCTTGGCAGTGGAGCCCAGGTCATGGGGGGAAGGGGCTGAGTCATCTCCTATGCCCTGTGTCTGCAGCTCTGGGTGGGGATGCCTGCCTGGTATGTGGCAGCCTGCCGGGCCAACGTCAAGAGTGGGGCCATCATGTCTGCCCTGTCAGACACGGAGATCCAGCGGGAGATCGGCATCAGCAACGCCCTGCACCGGCTTAAGCTCCGGCTGGCCATCCAGGAGATGGTGTCGCTGACCAGCCCCTCTGCCCCTGTCAAGAGTGGGGCCATCATGTCTGCCCTGTCAGACACGGAGATCCAGCGGGAGATCGGCATCAGCAACGCCCTCCACCGGCTTAAGCTCCGGCTGGCCATCCAGGAGATGGTGTCGCTGACCAGCCCCTCTGCCCCACCCACCTCCAGGACTGTGAGTGGCCTCTCCTTAACCCACGATGTTTTCGGAAGCCCTGGAATAGTGTTTACAAAGTTTCCCATTGGTCTCTGGGAAGATAGTAGCAGTGAGCCCTGCCTCTTACTTCACATTTCCACGAAGGGCTCTCCTTGGTCTCTGGGAGGTATGATGTTGATTCTAGGAGGATCCCAGCAGACCTGCTTCATTGCCTTCCACACACCACCCGTGAGCTTCATTTCCCCATCCCTGCCCTGCCAACGATTCCAGATCTCTGGGCAGAGTTTCTAGGGTGGAACTTTTGGGGTTCTGTGTTATTGCCAGATTGGGAGAAGCAGAGGGAGTAGGGCATTTGTGAATTCTGTCCTGGCCTCCTGACCTCACTACAAGAATGCAGACTACTCCACGGACCCCCAGGGTAACACCTTTCATTGTTGTTCGTCTCTGGGATTGGGGTCAGCCCCCTTTGCACAGCAGCACCGTTCATTCATATTCATCCAGGAAGCATTTACTGAATACTTCCTGTGTGCTAGGCACTGTGCCAAGCAGTGTAGATACAACGATAAAAGAGATGTGTCCTCTGCTATCAAGTTGCTCAGAGGTAGACAGTGTGCAGAGCCTATGGGAGGACACAGGGAGAGAGAATTTGCCTTTGTCCTTGGGGCTCCCAGCCTGATCAGGATCCTGGGGACCCATACCCAGGACCAGCTAGTTTTCTTCTCTGCTTGCAGTCTTCTGGGAATGTCTGGGTCACTCATGAAGAGATGGAAACTCTGGCAACGTCCACTAAAACAGTGAGTCTGGCCCTTGGCCCTGGGGTTAGGGCTAATAGCCCCCACAAGGATGAGGGGAAGGTCAGTATAAGATTGGTATCCCTGATGTGTGATTGGGTTCTGTTCTCAGGGTGGAGGATTGTGAGGAGAGGGGTGAGATTGTGAGCAGTTGTGTGAGTATGTGGGGGTCTATTCCAGGGGTCACAGGCTTACCCTAGGCCACTGGTGTGCTGCAGTGGGGAAGAGTTTGGCGGGGAGTGCTGTGCCCAGGCATGGGCCTGAGCCCCAGAGTCCCCGCTCTTGTGCTTTGTCCTTGGTGGAAGAACAGGGAGGGTTGGGAGGGTCTGATCTCGCCTGGCTCCTAGTCAGGCCTGGGAGGTGTGGAAGCCTGATTTTGCCACACACATTTGCTTCCCCCTCACCGCAGACATGGGCACACGCACCAGCCTTCTCTTCTCTCTTACCCATCCCAGCAAGCTTCCCCTAGTCATCCTGCCAGCTCCTGGGCATCTTCTCCCTCTTCTGATGGGGGACTGGGGTGGAGGCTGCTGGGTTTCTTGACTTTGCCTATTTCCCCTGACACGCTGCACTCGTTCCTGCTAGGACAGTGAGGAGGGCAGCTGGGCGCAGGTAAGACTCTTCCCTTGTCCAGGACCAACTCTCAGATCCAGGACAGTATTCTTGCAGTAGCTTCTCTCCCACCGTGTCTGCGTCCCTCTTCACACTACGAGCCCTGCACACAGATTCTCTCTCCAGATGAAGGACCCCTCCTCTCCCCCCAGTCCCCTTCAGCTACCTGTTCTGGTTTCTCAGGGTGGCAGGTGAGGAGCCATGGAGGGCTGTGCCCCAGTGCGCCTGGCTCTTCTCATTTTGACTCTCTTCCCAGGAATAATGAGACTTAGATTGGTATGAATCTTCTTCCTCTCCCCACCCCTCTCAGGGGCACCCCTGGTGAACTGAGCAAAGGCCTTTCATTCCTCCATTTAATGAGCCCATGTTTGTTGAGCATCTACTAGGTTTTAGGCCTTTCTAGGCTCTCTGGATACAGAAGTTAACAAGCAGAGCCTTCATGGAGCAGTAAAAAAATAAAGGGATAATATCAATAAGCAAACAAATAAAGGGATGATATCAGATAGTGACGAGGGCCGTGAAGAATGAAGCGTGGACAGCACTGTTGATACCTGTAGGGAAAACCCCACCAGCAAGAGGCCGGACAGACCTGCTGCAGCGCCTCACACAGTGCGACACTACTCAGCAGAGGAAGTGACGAATCTGAGAAATAGCGTGAGATGAAAAATGCAAATCCCAAAGGATTCATAGAATTTGATACCAAAACTTAAACACAAGAAAAATTAATAATATATTGTTTAGAGCAACATACACTGGTGATTATAAAAACTGTAAAAATTATTTTTAGAGCAAGGAAATGATAGAAAGCTCAGCAGAATATGACCTCTTAGATGGGCAGAGGAGCTGGGCTGGGGAAGAACACCCAGGTGGATGTGACTGTGGAGAATGTTCTGGCGCCTAACTGGGGTGGTGTCCACAGATGCTAATTTCATTTTTATGCTTAATAATGAACATAATGTTGCTTGTCATTTCCAATGTATCAACTATTTCGTTTTAAAGGAGAACAAAACAGAATTTTTCAATCTAAAACATCAAGAAGGGTAAGGAAGGCGTGGTGGAGGGTTGCTGTTAAAACTGAAGCTTTCTAAAGACTGCCGGTCAGGGAGCAGCCTGCTCCTCCTGTAGGAGGTGATGTCTACACAGCACAGGCCTCTCAGAACCAGGCGGAGGGCTGTGCATGGGAAGGCAGTGAAGGACCTGGGGAGTTCTTGGAGGAGAGGACCCAGCCTTAGAGATCTGAGCGCTGGCTCTTCAGGGGCAGGCCACCCGCCCTGTATTTTTTTCCGTCTTCAGCCAACATACAACATCCTGTGGACTGTGTGGGGCCAGGCGTTTCTCAGAGTGAGATGGCTTCCTTTGCTACTCTGTAGGTCCTCTGTAACACGGCCTCTCCCCTGGGCCCAGTGGGCTTGCAGCTCAGTGAAAAGCAGGAAGGCAAGTCTGCTGCCCAACACCGCAGATACATTCCAGAGCTGACAGGGAGGATTTCAGATTGTCTGTGCCTGAATAGCTGCTTCTGTTCATTAGTGTGGAAAATTGATACATGAGTGGAACCGTATCACTTTGAGATCTTAAAGAGTTCCATTTAAAATCCCCACCTCCTGCCACTACTAGCTCCTTAGTGAAGATAAACTGAAACTGTATTAGATGGCTGCTCTTCCCTCATGGGTGGAGGAGGTATTCATGTTTCTCTCAAACAGCTATGCCAGCTGCGACCTCCTGGCACTGCCTTCTTCCCCATAGCCTCCTCCATCTTGTTCCCCCAGACCCTGGCCTATGGGGACATGAACCACGAGTGGATTGGGAATGAATGGCTGCCCAGCCTGGGGCTCCCTCAGTACCGCAGCTACTTCATGGAGTGCCTGGTGGACGCACGCATGCTGGACCACCTGACCAAGAAGGACCTGCGGGTCCACCTGAAGATGGTGGACAGCTTCCATCGGTGAGCTGGGCTGCAGCCCAGGGCCACTTCCCCAGTGTGGGTCTCCCCAGCTCTGGGGGTCTGTGTCCAGCGAGAGAGGTGTCTCTCCCCCTTTCCCATGGCCTGTATTGGGTGGTAACAGGTGTCCCTGTTGGGAAAGTCTCCCTTCTTGAATTCTTTTTTTTTTTTTTTCCTTCTTGAATTCTTATCCTGCAATTTGAGTGGGATGGATCCTCTTTACCTCTAACCCTTAAGACACAAAAGGTCATTTCTCTTTAGCTTTATCTTCTTTGAGATTTTCCGACTAGGTCTGAATCTCATAGCTCATCTTTGGGCTTGCTGACTTCTCTATTTAGGTGTCTCATTCCTTCCAAGTCGAGGGGCAAAGTCTTTCTGAGCCTTTGCCCTGCCGACATCCTAGGTTGGAGCCTGTCGACTTTGGACCCACATCCTTTCATGCAGGATGTCATCCAGTCCTCTCCTCTTTGCTGAAAAGATCTTCTGTTCGAAAGTGTCTGTGGCAGAGGTCCTAAACTGGCAGCCCGTGGGTAGAATTTGGCCCACAGACATGTTTTGTTTGGCCCAGATATATTTTAAAAATTACAAATTTAGTTGCCAGTATTTAAACAGTAGGAGATTTTATACAAAATTCTGGGTTCCTGGCTTCTCTGTCAACACATTCCAGCATGGAAACAACCAGCTGGAGAGCAGTGCCCTAAGGATGGGGTAGGCATTCTCTGGCCCGCCCTGCACTCTCCAGCCTGCTTTCACTTGCATCACCTGCCTGGCCCAGTAGGCATTTGAGTTGGACAGCAAGGTGGGTGGTAATGGTCCCAGGAGTTGGCAGTTTTTAGGAAGTCCTTCTTAGCATCTATCTTCAATTCCCACAGGTTGCTGTTTGAGCCAGGTTTTTTGCTTTGAGTGGATAGTGAGACAAGGGGTGGGGCTGGGGTGTGTGGCTTTTCAAGGTTCCCTTGGGGCTCTGTGGATGTTCTTTGGTCTCTCCAACTCAAAAACCATAGAAAGTTAAATCTGGAAGGGATCTAGTGAGCCTCCCCATTTTATGAATGGAGATGAGGAAACGAGGTGCAGGATGAGCAGTAGCCCAAGGTCACTCAGGAATGACAGCAGAGTGCAGGTGGAACTCGAGTCTGCTGACTCAGGTCCAGCGCGCTTGCTACCACACTCCTGTTCTGGAACCCGCAGTCTTCCAGAACCCATGGTGAGGGCTGACTTGTGAGCGAAGCCTGTGTCCTCCCAAATGCCTCCCGCCCCCGCCTCAAACTGGGGCTGAAAGGGAATCTTTTGTCTCTGCTGGGGAGGCTGCCAGGCCCAACTGCACCTGTCCTCTACTCAGTGATTGATAGGGCTGGGGAGAGAAGGGCTGTTCCCCCACAAGCCAGGAGGTGCCTGGACTGCTAAAGGATCTGTCAGCCCAGCTCCACCCAGGACTATGGAAATCCTCCCCATGAGACAGTCCCAGCCTGCATATGTGGTTCCAGATTCAGCTCTAAATCTTGAGTACTTCAGAGTTTCTAAAGCATTTTCGTATGCCTCACCTCAGTTGTGTATATACCTGCTTTTATCCCCCATAAGCATGTTCTTACGTCTTTAAAAATTCTTTTAAATCATGACAAGAAAGGGATATTTAAAAACTCTCATTTTATAGGTGGGGAAAACAAGTTTAATAGAGGTTGATTTCTACCAGGTCACCCAGCCAGGTGGTTATAGAATAGGGCTAAAGCCCTTGTCTCTTGGCACCCAACCCAGAGCTCTCTTCCTTGGAACATATGTCCTACTGGGCTCCTTGAGGAGCTCATGCTTTGACAGAACAAGCACACACAATAAGCAGAAGTATCACCCTAGTAATGGTACCATCACTGAGCACCTGTGATGTTGCAGGGGCTGGGCTCAGCTCTTCCATTTGTTATCACCTTTACTCCTCACAGCAACCCTGCCAGAGAGGTATGACCCCGTCCCCTGTGTGCCGAGGGCTCCTCAGCTAGTAAATGGCAGAGCTGGCATTCAAACCCAGGTTAACCTAACTTTAGGGGCTTTATATTGTTGCTATGCTATACAACAGCTTTGAAAGTCAGAGGCAGGAGACTGAAAATTATAGGAAGTGACGGTGAGATTAGATGGCATTTTCGGTCATGAGCTGTGTATACTCATGCCCCCTCACGTGGATCAAGGCTTAAACCAGTGGTTCAAGTCAGGAAAGTGTTCCTGAAAGTGGTATCTCTGAGCTGCAAGGGAGAGATTGTTGTGGGCAGAAGGCTGCCTGGGTAGAACCGAGAGAAGAGAAGGAGGGAGCAGCCTGTGTAATTTAATCTCACAAAGCAATGGCCTCAGTAATAGAGTCAAAAGCAGCTGGAGTTGGGAGGGATCTTCTATTCCTCCACAGAAGGAATGAACTGCCTTGAGAGGTAATGAGTACCCTGTCACTGGAGGTGTTCAGGCACAGGCTCAGTGACTACTCAGAGAGCGCTATAGAGTGACACCTGCACTAGGTGGGAGCTTGGACTGATGACCTCTGGGGTCCCTTCTAACACACAGAATCTGTGGTTCTAAGCCTGATTTAGTTATTACTCATTGAGTGCTTATTGTGCACCTGTACTGTTTAAGTACTTTTAGTAATTTATGTGAATTATTTCATTTAATTCATTAAGCATTTATAGAGTGCTTGCTCAGTGCTAGGAGTTTAAGATCAGCGAACAAAACAAAGTTCCCTGTCCTCGTGGAGCTTATATTCTAACTGGGTGAGACAGTCGAGGAAGTACTTTTAGTAATTTATGTGAATTATTTCATTTAATTCATTAAGCATTTATAGAGTGCTTGCTCAGTGCTAGGAGTTTAAGATCAGTGAACAAAACAAAGTTCCCTGTCCTCGTGGAGCTTATATTCTAACTGGGTGAGACAGTCGAGGAACAATAAATATATGGTATATTAATAGAAACAGCTAGGAAAAAAATTAGACCAGGGTAAGAGGGATTGGGAGTGTGGGCTGGGGGTGGTGGTGGTGATGACGTTGCAGTTTTAAATCTGATGAACAAGGTAACTAGCGAATTGGACTGAGAAGGTGACATTTGAGCAAAAATTTAAAGGAGATGAAGGAGTAAGCTATGCAGCAGACTGGAAGAGGAGTGTTCCAGGCAGAGGGAGCAGCCAGTGCAAAGGCCCTGAGGCACGCAGGCCTAGTGAGCTGGCTGTGTTTGAGCAGGGGTGTCAGTGTGGCTGCAGCTGTGAAGGTGACGGGGAGAGTAAGTCAGAGGGGGGATCAGACAGGTAAGGGAGCAAATCATGTAACATCTTGTAGGTCACTGTAAAGACTGAGTGGAATGGGGATACAAAGGAGTATCTTGGATAGAGGACGTATCAGATACTAAACTGATAAGAACAGATAGTACACATGATCTTAGCCAAAAGGCCGAGAAGCGATACAAAGGAGTATCTTGGGACATGTTGGTTTCATTCAAAGAACTTTCCTTCCTTCAATCAGGCCCACTCCCTGGCTGAGAGGGAGGATATGGGGTAAGCAGCAAGAAGGAAGTAGCCTCAGGACAGATCATGTACAGGCCCCAGGGGAAGGAGTAGCATGGGGTGCTCTTTGTGCTGGAGGCAGTCAGTCTGGGCAGGCTGTGCTGGTGCTGGCAGACAGGGGGCAGGTGGGGCAGGACATGGCCGACTGTGGCTCTGGCTCATGGGGCTGTGTGCCTGCAGAACCAGTCTTCAGTATGGCATCATGTGTCTGAAGAGGCTGAATTATGACCGGAAGGAGCTGGAGAAGAGGCGGGAGGAGAGCCAGCACGAGATCAAGGGTAAGCTTGCCACGCTCGGGAGGGCCTCCTTGGAAAAGATAGGGGAGCTACCTGCCTAGCTGTTACCTGCCTTGGGCCAAGCGGAGAGGAGGCATTCTGTGCCTCAGGGGAGCTACAGGTCTGAGAGGGAAGAACAGCCCCTACCTTAAGGAGCTCCTAGTCTAATGAGGAAGACGTAGTCCTTGCCTAATGGACGCTGCACCATCTGATGGAGGAGGAACAGCTCCTACCCAGGTGGCTATAATACCCTTCTGACACCTCCACACACCAGGCACTGGTCTGGACAAATGCAATGATTCCTCTGGGACAGTGCTATAGACTGGTATGCTCATGGAACTTGGGGATTTGGGTTGGGTTGGACAGTAAAAAGAGGTAAGTCTTAGAAGAGACTTCAAAGGTGGAAAGAATAAGAAGGCCCTTCCAGCCTGGGACGGGGGATGACCCATGCAGGGGATCTGGGGAGAAAGCTGGGAGCCTGTTGGCCTGAGCCTGAGTACTGCAGACTGGCAGGGATGGAGTGAAGTGGGGCTGGTTCTCCAGGACCCCAGCTGCCAGGGAGGACAGAAAGATGTGGAAAGTTGGGGGAGGGGTGGGAGCCAGAGAGCACGGTGGACTGGGTCTCTGGGTCTCTGGAGCTCTATTGCTATCCTTGGTGGGATCTTGGCCAAACCTAGTGTCTCCTTCTGCCTCTTCTCCCGCCCTCCAGATGTGCTGGTCTGGACCAACGACCAGGTGGTTCATTGGGTCCAGACTATTGGGCTTCGGGACTACGCAGGAAACCTACACGAGAGTGGTGTGCATGGTGCACTGCTGGCCCTGGACGAGAACTTTGACCACAACACACTGGCCCTGATCCTCCAGATCCCCACACAGAACACTCAGGTGGGTGACCTTTTAATCAGTCTCTCTCCCACTTTCGCTTGCTTGCTGTCTTTCTCTCTCCCTCTCTCACACACACACATAGGCTTAGGGATTTGTGGGGGGCTTTTCTGGGGTCTGTCCCAGAGGGCATCTTCAAGTGGTCCTTGTGCATAACCAAGCCTCCTTGGGCACATGTGTCCTTCACATACAGAGCACACCTGGCACAGGCCTGGCACATAGTGTGCCCTTATGTGTTCATCCCCACACTGCTGTGGCCACCTTCATCTCCTCCCAACCCCATTTTGTACCTGAGACTCTGTGCCTTCCTTTTCCCCAGCCTGCTTCTCTGACCTGACTTTTCTTAGAGGAGAACTAGCCCTGGGGCCCCTAGGGACCAAAGAGCCCATATCTCCTTTGTCCACCTTGGGGATCTGCATCTGTGCCCCCAGGCTTAAGAAAACTAAATATACAAATAACACAGCCCAGAGCCTTTCCATGCCAGGGCTTTGTCTCCCTATCAACAGCTCAAAAGATTAGACTTCTCCTTAAATTACATTTCATAATTTTTATGGAGCTGTCGTCCAAGAATATCTCTAAATTCTCTTGAACCTATTTATATTTTTGGCCCTTTCTAACTTCCTGTGGGTAATGGATTCTAGAAGTACTACCTGTTGTGTAAAGTACTTCCTGATTTTATTTGTCCTAAATATGCCCCAGTCAGATTCCCCCTGGGAAAGGAACTGCCTCTTCCTAATAGTTTAGGTTTGCTGAGGATGTTTGTATTCGACCAGTTCTCACCTCTTGTGATTTCATAACCTCTGATTGTATTGCCTCTGGGCCCAAGCCTTTGTCTCTCCAGACAGAGTGGTCTTAATTCTTTTAGTCTTTCCTCATATAGACTTGCCTTTGTCCCCTGATCATTTTAGCTCCCTTGTCTGGACTGTTTGCAGCTGTCAGATATCTTTTAAAATTCTGCCACCAGAGCTGCACAGGCTATTCTGGGAGCAGCCACGTTTTGGCACGAGTGAGGGTAGGGCTGTGTTGTCTCATAGCTCTGGGCAATGTGTTGGCCTTTTGGGGGTGATGGCAGCACACAGGACCGGGGTGTCCTATAGTGCCACCAGAGCTGCACAGGCTATTCTGGGAGCAGCCACGTTTTGGCACGAGTGAGGGTAGGGCTGTGTTGTCTCATAGTTCTGGGCAATGTGTTGGCCTTTTGGGGGTGATGGCAGCACACAGGACCGGGGTGTCCTATAGGGTCTCCACAGTGATCCTCTGGCCCTGCAACCGGCCAAAATGGACAGCACAGATCCCCTTATTCTCTAAAAAGCTTGGATTTCCCCCTAATGCAATTTCTCTGCATTTGCCCACCTTGAACTTCATCTTCCACTTTCCTGTCCATACACACTTTGTGAGATGTTTCTGAGATGTCTGAGAAATGTGAGAAGTTTATACCTGTCATCTTCACCTTTTACCACCCAGAGGAACAGTGTTGTTTGGATACTGGAACATTTACTATGCTTCATCTTTCAGATCATTTATAAAAATGTTATGTTTCCAATACTGACAAAGACTGTCCTTATAGAACTCTGTGAATGATATTTTCCACTGAGAAATGGGCTTTTCTTTTATTCCCTATCTTTAAATGCATTCAGTGTTGCGGATAGCAATAATTCCATAAATAGCAGGGATATCTCTCTATTGCTTTCTAACCTTTCTTATTTTCCTGACCCTTTCATTTAGCTTAGCTACTGGGAGAAGTGGTATCTGACCCAATATGGAATCCTTCATTTAAAATGGCTAAAAATCGGGCCGTCCCGGTGGCGCACTGCTACAGTGCGCCGCTTGGGAGCGCGGTGGCGCTCCCGCCGAGGGTTTGGATCCCACATACGGACCGGTTCCCACTCACTGGCTGAGTGAGGTGCGGGCGCAACACCGAGGGTTGCGATCCCGTTGCCGTCCCAGTCCAGTACAGGCACAACACTGAGGGTTGCGATCCGTTGCCGGTCACGAAAAAAGACAAAAAGGAAAACAAACAAACAAACAAACAAAAAAAAACAATTATAATAGTCTCTTATAGGTTTATGTTACAATTCCAAATTGTAGGTGAAGTGAGGCTTTTTTGGCCTACTTCTTTTGGTTAAAGTCTAGGACAGATCTTATTTGTATGAAATTCTGCTGTATGCAGAATGTTTAATGCATATTTTAATATGTTTATTACATATGTAATATGTTAAAAAAATAAATAAATAAATAAAAATAAAATAAAATGGCTAAAAATACCTGGTGGCAGTTTAAAAAATAAATAAATAAATAAATAAATAAATAAATAAATAAAAATAAAATAAAATGGCTAAAAATACCTGGTGGCAGTTTAAAAAACTTTCCTGTTTCTGGCATTTCCCAAAACTTTTAATGAGTTCATCTCCTGGGAGGCCTAGAGGAAGCCTCTGTGCCCCACGCAGCCCAGGGACCACCGATATCCATGACTGAGAAGTCTTCTTTTTCTTTTCTTTTCTTTTCTGGTGGCTGGCTTAGACCTTGGTGTTATCAGCATCATGCTCTAACCGAGTGAGCTAACCAGCCAGCCCTGAGCAGTCTTCCTAATTTAACTTTTTGGTGTGGAACCTTATCAAGTATATTTATTTAATCCAAATAGGTTAAGTTTCAGGTATCCATGGTCTACATGCTTATTTACTCCTCCAGAAAGGTGGTCAGGCATGCTTTTCCCCTTATAGACAAAACATGTTTTTTGCCAGTAGGTAAAGTCTGTCCATCCATATGTTCTGTGATCCTACTTTTTAAAAAGTAGGATCTTTTTTGATCTGCTCCATATGAAAGAATCCTAAGGCTTACAGTTTCACTTCTGAGGTTTGCTTGAAGGAGCAGCATCAGGAAGGTATGTGAAGGCTTCTAATGGGCTAAATGCACTGAAACCCCCTTCTCTGCCCTTTGACCCTAGGAAACAGGTAAAAGATAGTGTAAAGGTCATTAACTATAGCCCCCCTCACCTTTCCCTCTCTCGCCCTATGGACTCCAGGCACGCCAGGTGATGGAGAGAGAGTTCAATAACCTGTTGGCCTTGGGCACAGACCGTAAGCTGGATGATGTGAGTTACCTGGCTATGAATTAGGGGCTTTGGGGACTTGGTTATTGTTGGTTCATTAGATTTGTTGTTTTGTTGGTTCATGAGTTCTGCTTCCCCTGAGCTGATGATTATTGCGCTGGCCTAAGGGAGAAGAGCCAGAGGGGATGGAGCTGATGCAGGGGGTTGGGGAGGAATGCCGGGTCTAGCAGGACTTGTCTTTGGGTAGCAATAGGCTGTGTAGAAGCCTCAATGAAACACCCTCCTTGTATAAAAGCTGAAGGTCCCTATACTTCTAGCATCTACCAACTCTGCCCAGCCCTCCTAACCATGCAGGATCAAAGGTTTCCCCCAAGGGCTGAATCTTTGGGATTATAGTTTTTTCTTTATCTCTCAGACCCCATCTCATCAGTGCGATCTGCCCAGCACATCTGCAGCCTGCTCATTAGATCCCGGCCCATCCTACAGTAGTGTGGTTGTTTGGAGGTAGATGCTCTGCTGAGGTTGTTAAATGACAGCTTCGCTCCCTTGTTCCTCAGTACATTCTGATACAGCTAACACATGCTCAGGCTTTTATCATCCCTGCCTTCCCACCAGGTTAAAGTTTTCCTCTTTCAGCCCTCCTGGTCACTGAAGAAACAGCCCCTTGCACTTGACTTCATCAGGCCTTCCCTTGAGTTTAGGGAAGACCCTGACATCCTGAGCCACAATACTCCCCTTAGAGATGCCAACCTGAGCTCACCTGTTTCCTGAGGACATGGCTCCTCTGCGCCCGCCGCCTCCTCCCTGCCTCCTCCCTGCTCACTCTCCTATCACTGAACTTGCCTGCCCTTGCCTGTCAGGTCTGCCATAGTGGATTTGGCTCCAAGCAAGTTAAAAAAGAGCCCAGACTCTGTTTATTTTTAGTATCTCCATCTTCAATCAGATCATTATTTCTTAGTTGGGTTTAACAGGGCTTAAACTCGCTTTTGTAGAGTGACTGCTCTGCCTCTGTAGATTGGGCACACTCAAGAATACACAGGATTTGTGGAGGTTAGTTTTCTTCACAGAGAGACCTTGAAGTTTGGAAAAAAAAAAAAAAATATATATATATATATATATATATATA